GTTGGAAATGCCTGCCTAAATGCTGCGGGGATTTAGAGTGTGTTGTAGAGTGTGTGTATCTCCTTGTTTTCGTCTAGTTCCATAATTCCGATATCGATAGGAACAATATTTATTTGCCAAGTCTATGAAACCTCCTCCTATAAAACAATATAAAAAAAATTTTTTTTTTAAAAATGCACATATAAATTAATGTTCACCTTTTATTTGTATTTAGCCTTCATTCAAACAAAAAATGTGAAATCACTGTCAAATAAATGTAAGACTCTTAGGCTCACTTTAATAATATTAATATCTTTAACTTTAAACTATAACATAGGCTGATTACTCTTATAGATTGAAACAAAAGTGCTTCAGCCAGGATAAAGAATATGAAAAGAGCTGCAGAAAACAAAAACACCAAGTGAATAACAAAAACATGTTTCTGGAGACTTTTGGAGCTTTTGGAGCTTATGAACGCTACTTTATCAGATAAAATGAAAATGCCATCGAAACTTTTCTGAAGACAGTTGGTTCTCTTCAAAGATACATTCATATAAAACACCCGCACTGCGTTTTGATTTTGAAACGTGCAGTGCTCATGTTTATTCAACGAAGTCAAACGCCACAAATAAATCAATGTACACTCTAAAAAATGCTGGGTTAAATATGGACAAACCCAGCGATTGGGTTGTTTTCAACCAAAAGTTGGGTTAAATGTTTAACCCAACCTTCTGGGCAGTAACCCAACCGCTATATATATATATTATCCATCCTTTCCCTTACCTCTCAATGTGGTTTGCGAGCTCCTTGACCTCTTCCAGCAGTCGGATTTGAGCCGGGTCATGGCAGAGCTCAACGTTGGGCCTTTGGCTGCGAGAGGACAGTCGAGTCTGAGCCACTTTGAATGGAGCGTCTTTCTCTGCGATTGCCACACGTAGAGACTCCAGATTTTTCTCCTGATTTGCTGTCTCTGCTAGCAGCTTTAAGAGAGCACATAGACATACCAAACTAGTCAAATTAGAACCTAAAAAAACTAGAATGAAACCCTATAAAACGATCCGGGATGTTACAGACAAGATTAAATTGAAATTGATCCTAATTACTCAAATGCTAAACATATACATTTTTGACTTTGAATTTTGCCGAGTATTATATGGCTAGTTACTAAGGATGCACAATAGGCTATATTATTGTCAAATATTATTAAATTATTTTAATTTAGCCATGACCTAACACTCACTCAAAATTAAATTTCAATATTTAAAAATGTAATAATATTTAATATAAAATAGATAAAAATATTTAATAAAATTGTTAATTATAATTTTAACAAATCTCAAAATAAATATATTTTTCATAATATATATTATAATGTTGCTGTGCCTTAATTCATTAGTAGAAATGATTTTATACTACACGTGCAACTGACCTCATTGAGCTGGTTCTCAAGCTGTGTTTTGGCAGTTTTGGTCTCCTCTATGCGGAGCTCAAAAGCCCTTCCCGTGGCCTCGTACTGTCTGCGCATGTCTGCAGCCGTCTGCTCGAGCAGGCTGTCCACAAGAGCTCTCAGAGAAAGAGAGTTGTTCTTCTCCTTCTCGGCTTTGCTAATGTTTAAGATGCAGAGGCTCTCCCACTCCTCAGGAGTCACTGCAGTTCTGGAAATAGTAAAAAAAAATGTTTATATATATGTATATATATATATACACATACAGAAGAAAAAGATGGAAAACCTTCTCTTAACATCTAAATAGTATCATAGACACTTTTCTTACCCAACACTGCTAAAATCTGAATTCCCTTTGTTTAAACCGGGCGACGCATTAGTGAGAAGGGCACAGAAATCATCAATGTGCTCAGCCTGAAATTTGTCCTGCAGGTCCTTTTCCAGATAGTATTTCACTGAACGAATGAGCCTGAAAAACACATGAAATATGTGCAAAGTAAAATTCCTTTTTAATCAAATTAATGTGTATATAACTAGCATTTTTATTAAATAACACAATATACCAATAATGCAAGGGTTTAGTGCCATATTTTAAACACTTTTCAGTTTCTCACCAAAGTCATTATTATTTTATTTTGATTTTATTGTTTTATTAAATAATTGTTTATTATTGAATTTTTATTATCATCATAATTTAATAATTTATTTAATTCATATTTATTTATTTATTACAGCTTTGACAGATGCTTCCACATGAAACATCAAGAACAATTTGATTCTTTATGATTTGACCCCCTTAAGTTAGTCTCTTGATTCCCAAATGAGTCTTGTCACTGTCCCACCGACCTGATCTGCTCATTGATCTGCTCCAGTGTTCGCTGAAGCAGGACCATCACTCCTTCAATCACCTCCTTCTCCTTCAACAGCTCCTCTTCCACCTCATCATGCACAAGGTCAATCGCCACCCGCTTCTGTCTGTGACACAGACAAAGTTCAAAAGGATGGCATTTATTTGAAATGTAAAAGTCTTCGTGGTTACTTTTGATCAATTTGGTTGTGTAGGTCAAGTAAAACTCTTGATTTTAGGATTGTCTTCTTCTAGTGGTGCTCTACAGTGAGAAGTACCTCACAGTCAGACATTGCAAAGTCACTTGGAAAGGCTCAGAGCAGCTTTCTAAGGCTCTTTCCACACGGCTCTTAAAAATGATGAGGGTCTCAATCTCCTGCACCATCTCCTGAAACTTCTGGTCCAGTTCCTGCCTCCAGAATTTGATGTCCTGGATTCTCTGCTCTGAAGAGGAGATGCAAGACTCATGGGAAAATACGTAGGCCAGAATTGTTTACACATTATTAAGGAAATATCTGAAATAACTTCCTCTGCTCATCATTTCTATCACTTATCTTTGAAAGGACAAGTATCATCTTGAACTTCCCGTCTTCCTGCACCTCTAATGCAAGGCCATTAACCTTCTTTGCATCCTGTCACATGTGTTTGCTCTATTGCATACCCAGCTTCTTTTGTGCATCCTGTTGCATGTGTTTGGTAGATTTGTCACTCTCCTCTACGAGTCTTTGACACTCCGCTGTCAGTCTCTGTGAGAGTGATCGTTCTGCCTCCGAGCTCCTGAAATGCACCTGGTTTGCATGTTTCCACTCAGATGGCAGAAACTTATCAGGGGATCCCATCAGCCGAGACATTTTTTTTCTAATGAGAAAAAGTAATTCTATGGTTAAAGTCATTGTTTTGTGATTACTATATGATAACTAACCAACACTGTAATCTATTATAACACTTGAATTAAAGCCATACTGTTGCCAAAAACAGCTGTTATTAAATTCTAATACACAAAAGAGCAAAATACTGACAATTTAGATATAACCGTCAGGATTTCAGTTAACTGTTGTAAAACCTACTGTTTTGCTCATCAACTCTTGTCTTAAACAATCCATTCAGCATTTTTTAAACTAAATAAACATTAAATAAGTAGGATTAAAACATTAAACGTAAATAAAGCGTCTTACCTGTCAGATATAAATGCCTATGTACTGCAACTCAAAATACGACTGCTGACAATCTACCGGCGAGTAAACACACTGTTGCTATGGCAACGAAACGTTTTAACGCTAGAGGTCGGCAGACGACATTTATTTTTCATGCTTTAAAAAAAATTAACAGATAAAAAGATTTTAAACAAAGTAAAAATCTTTTTAAAAAATTACATACATTTAGTAATCATTTATAAACAGGATCTCTATTTATCAGCCTTGTTGTCATTATTATTAGTAGTTAATTAGTACTTTGCTATGAGGATAATCAATAAAATCATTAAAACAAACTGTTTTCATTTTTAATTTAAATAACATTTATTTCATGTCATCAGTAAGCATTTGTAGTTGTTTAGAAAATAAAAAAAGCTCTTCATTTACAGAGGAATTGTTTCTTACAGTTTTTTTTCCTTTTATACATTATAATTTGATACAAATACATTCTATTTATACACTAGCATTAGTCTAACATTATAACAAAAACACATTCTTAAGCCAAAAGAGGGCATATTTGGTTTTGACAAATATGTTTAAGCGCAGTCTGCTTATACTTAACATGAAAGTTATATCAAACTGTACTGACCACAAAAATACACTTGGTCATTTCTGCACATCCTTCACTTATTCACACTCAATTTCAGTGAGACACAACTATTATTATAATACCACTTCAGCATGAGTTATAGACATAAATAGATCCACAAAGTAAACGTGTCATAAAAGTACTCAATTAAATTGTGCAAATGCAGCCTTTTCTTGACAGTGTAACAGTCTGCATAAGTTTGAACGGAATGAGAACGCAAGGACAACAGTAGCAGTAACCATAAACACTCAAAGTCTGAAGTACAGTAGACTAATAAAACATTTTGTTTATAAAAAATGTTACAAGATAAATGTATACTAAATGTTTTGAGACAATGTGGTAATGGTAAGGCTGTGGTGTGAATTTATTCATTAAATAATGAATTAAATAAAATACATTATGGGTATGCTTTTCTTAATTTGTAACAACCTTTTTTGAAAGACTATTTAGAATCGATTTCAATAATTACAGTACAAATTTAAATGTGCTTACTTAAGATACCACAATCGATTTGGGACTGGTCCCATCAACTGGCTGCGATTTAAAATATACTGGCTTTAATTTATAATATTTCTTGGATAAAAAAAAAAACACTGTGTACACTGTATCACATACCAGTAAAACCTCAAATAAATTTTGGATTAAAGACTTTTTAAAATATATTAAAATACAAAACAGACATTTTAAACTGTAATAATTTCTCGATATTACTGTTTATACCGTGTTTTTTTTCTTTTCTCAAATATATGGCTCCTTGGTGAGTAAAAGTGAATTATTTAAAAAACAAACAAACTAATATTATAGACCATAAACTTTAGGTAGTGGCCTTTATATTTTAGTCAACTAAATTACTAAACATTTTAAGAAGTTGGTCCCCTACAAGAAGAGCATCATATTTTGTAGGTCCCCATGTTTAAAAAGTGTGAAAACAACTGCTCTAAAAATATAAGGAGTTTATATGAGTTCAGTCATGCTGCATCTCCTTATGGACAGCATAAATACATCCTGTAGATCAAAAAGCATTTTCACTAAGCGGGCCAAGTCGTCCACATGCTTTATAACCATGTGTGTTGCAAAGATCTGAACAGCTACTAGAACCGACAGCATTGAACAACAGATGATCAATACTTAAACATCGAAACTCTTTGCAACACACAACAACAACTACATCCAAACACAGACTGGATCTATATGGCTGTTATTAACTGATTGTTTACGGTGCTTCATAGATGAATTGGTGTTACAGGACGGGATAGCGGCACACAATGCACTGGTCTGCATTAAAGTGTGAATGAGGTCTGTCAGCTCTAGGGCAAAGAAAAAGGCTTTCCGCTGCCTGGCGGAAGTGCTACAAACAGGGAAAGGAATGCTGGTGGAATGCTAGACAAGCAGGGTAGGAAGGATCAAGTTAGGAAGCGCATGGGAATTTGAAAGCTTACTTAAAACCAAACCATGTCTTCTGTACCCTGCAGGGGTGAAAAAGAGCATCTGTGAACATCTGACAGTTAAAAACAGCCCTGCGGGAGATTCAGGATATTATGGGGATTACTATTGCTATGTACTGCAATTAAAGTCAACATGAAATCCATTTTAATTCCACAATAGAAATATATGTATGAGTGAAACAAAAAGTTGAGCAGGACTTGATTTTATCCATCAGGAATTGGCTGTGTTGTGAAAAGTGGTATTTTATTTTCTTATTAAAAATGAAAAGGTAAAATGAATAGAATTTCAAAGGCATTACATTTTAATGAAAGACTTTTCTGGAATAATGTGCCACAATTAAATCGTTCACAATAAGACCATAATTGTGCAAAAAAAAAAAATTCTTATTGACTTTAAAACCAATGACTACAAAATACAGCAGGATGTACTGTAATAAGTTGTGTCATTTACCTTGTGTCATAGTTATCGGAGTTCAAATCGAATTTATAGGTGGGCTGAAAGTCAAGAGGTCCTTCTTCAAACTTCTGCAAAGTAGCTTCCTTCTGCTTCATCATGGTGAGCTGGTGAGATATTGACATGCACAGACACAAACTAACATTATTGCATAAATTAAGTGAGTTACTAATTCTGGATCGGCAAATATACGATTGATATGTTAGTACATTTTTCATTTGCATGTATAGACATTGTTACTACATCTATTGATCAGTACCTGATCTTTAGACCAAAGAAGATTATAACGCTGGCTGGTGATGCAGTTCCTTACAAAGAGCATCCCGTGGTCCTCGATACGAAAATTCAAATCCCCAAACCAGAACACCACTCTAGAATTAATTTGCAATAAAGAGCAATGTAGATAAATGATAAGGAATAAAGAACACAATCAGCCAAATTAAATCATTCACAGAAGACTGTTATGTGGTTATTATTCATGGCCACGACTGACTTGTGATCCAAAATGCGTGGTGTGTTTTTGGTGTCAAAGGTCTGAGCATCTAGAATATACTCGAACTCATCCACCCGCTGAGAGGCGTAGTTCATGTGGGCGGTCAGGTGACAGTTCAGGAAGCAGAGCATGTGACCGTAGAAGGACAGACGGATGGACACACCTCCTTTATTACCCTTTAATTTGAAGAAAATAAGGATGAATTTTCCTGCACAGCAAATGTTACATTTTCATTAGGTTTATCAAAAGTTGCTCTCAAAACTATAACTAACTTGCATTTCCATACTCTTACCCAGTAGCCATAGAGTCCTGTGCGGGTGTAAGTGACCTGAATGTCTCTGATAAAGGGGACGTGCTCCATCTTGGAAATGAAAAGCAAGAGCAGACCTTGCATCCGTATGGAGGACACCTGAATGGGCCACAATAAATACATTTATATAATTAAATTAAATATTCAAATTATATTAAATATATAAATTATAATAGATTTAATAAATAACACATTTAATTGTAATTATAGATTATATTTATTCATTATAAGTTCATGGTAAAACTTTATTTAAGGACCAATTTTTACTATTAACTAGTTGCTTATTAGCATGCATATTACTAGCATATTGGCTGTTTATTCGTTTTTATAAAGCACATAATAATGCCTTATTCTGCAGGACCATATTTTAGATCCCTTAATCCCACCTCATACCTAAACTTAACAACTACCTTACTAATTATTAATAAGCAGAAAATTAGTTGTTTATTGTGGCAAAAGTCATAGTTAATAGTTAGTTAATTACACTAAAGTGTAACCAAGTTCATTATACCAAATTCATTATTAATTCATTATAGGTTCATCAAGTCAAATGTAGTAATGTAATGAAATATATAAATAATGTATATACTGTATATTATAAATTATATTATATTACAATGTATATAATTACATTTAACTTAAATTGTATACATTTCAATTATTTAAATGCATTATTTCTTATTTAAACTTAAATATATAATTACATAAATTGTAATAATTCACATTAAAAATATAAATGGATTAAATAATTGTAATTACATAAGTATGTAATTAAAGTATATATATATATATATATATATATAATGTAATTATATTATTAGCATATATTTAAATTATGTTATTAAAAATATACATTTTAATATATTACAAATATAAAATATTATAAATATATATATTTTTAAAAATTAAATTTACAATAATAATAATAATATTTCCCATTCATGTATACCTGTCAGAGCTGCTCTATAAATCACTGACTAAGAAATCAGTGGTATAATCCACTGGTTCATAGTGAATATCGCATAATTAGTATGATAATGAACAAAAGCATGTTTGTATGAGTCAGCACCTTGATATAACCCAATGGAGCCAGCGTGTTCATGAAGAAGTGACTCCAAGAATCCTCGAAGGCCAAATCTGTGACAAACTTGAGAGGTGCAGCCTTCACCTCCTGCAGCCTGAACAGCAGCATCACAGATGTTAGGACACTCAGACCACATACTTCTGAGGTAAGATAACTGTCATTATTTACTTTATGGTCTGTCTCTCGCTTTCAAATACTGAAACTCACCCGATCACATAGAGGTCAGTTTTCTTCGGGGAGTTGAGCTGAAGCACAGAGTTCACATCGTCAGGAGGCTCAGCTGTGGCCACATTCCACGTGACGACGTACAGCCTGGGAGTAAAAGAAAGAAATAATAGTTCTGCTTGTGTAACTCCTGTCCTTACATAACTGCTCAGATGAACAATAACACCAATTCAAGAAATTCTAAGCATATCACACTGCAGCTTACCATCTTAAACAGCTCAAACCGTTTAACCATTTTTAAGAACCACAGGCTAACATCTAAGGTTTAAAATGTCTCATCCCCTGAAGATCATTAACTCAAATACACCATGATTCCATGATTTCTCTGGAAAAACAGATAGAAAGGTGCACAGTCGCCACAAAACCAAGCTCGACACCTGCAGTCAGGTTTAGGTCTGCCAGACTTGACAACAAGTGAGGTAGAAAACAAAACCTGAACTGGTCTTTCTTAGGTCGGCCCGCAATCTGCCTGCAGACGAGAAAAGCCTCATCTAATGTTTTAGCCACCTGGGCGTTGAGTTTATCGTCAGGGTCCAGATCGTCCACGCAGGTCATGAGCATAGCCAGATGCTGTCGCACATACAGACGGCTGCTGGTGGACTCTGTGCCGGTGCTGGCCACACTGTCGGAGCGCGATCGCAGGGTTTCGCTAAAATATTCAGAGATTTCCTCCATGCTAAGCGACAGTGGCTGGTCACGTGAAAAAAATTGCACCTGAGTGTCTTGATAGATATTTCGTCTTGAGTTCCAGGGAAGCAAAGTCAGTTGTTCCAATAATTAATAATACAATAAAATGTGTGATATAGGCTGTAGGTGGAGTAAAAGGAGGCTGTAGTGTAGGCGAACTTTTAGATTTAAAGATTAAATCCCTAATCTGGTTTAACAAGGTCCTACGTGACCCACCCAACACAATCAATCTAAACTACAAACGTGTCCCTCAATATGCCAGTTACACAATACACTGGATTAACTGTTAGAAACAAATGGCTAATTATTTCTATTTCTCTGACATCAATACTTATTTCTGATATTTTCATGCTATTAATTATATTTGTTTATTTGATCATATTTATCATATATTTATTTTATATAATTATAGTATGTGACAATACATCTTGAATATATATATATATATATATATACAGTTGTGCTCATAAGTTTACATACCCCTTGCTGAATGTGCAAACTGTTAATAATTGAAACACACAGTTTGTGATAAATAAACATTCTTGCATCATGGTAAGTATAGAAAGTATATATATATTTTTTTACTGTATAGTTAGGAAACTAGAGGCCAAAATATGGAACCGTAAAACAGTTTGGTTTTCCATAAACAACCGAAATCCCCCACATGAACAGAAACCTGTTGTATAACCAAAGTGTGTTAAGAAAGCTAATCCCAATGTGCTTATCCCTGCTTCGTGCGTTCACCATTTCAGCAAACAAGAGACTAAACTGTTCACCAAAATGACAACCTTGTGACAAACTTACAACAATGTTTGTGCTCCATGAGAAGAAAATCTGAATGGATAATTGTATAGCAATATCTGCACATTGACATAATGACAGAATATGTTAAAATCTTAGTTTTGCTTCAAAATTTTTGATGGAAATCCATCCAATAATGGTTGTAGGATTAAAGCCCAAATGGGGTGATTCTTGATCACTATTGCATTTCACTTGCAATAGTAAAATACAATATCAATAATTTAGAATAAGAAAGCATATGCTAAATAAAGAATAAGATGGGATATTTAAGTTACCCAAAAGTGTCCATCTTGCTGTCTTTCTGCTCCAGACTGACAGAATTCAAAGCCTGTGACAAATCGTCCTCCATCTTCTCCAACCTGTCAAACATACGAGCACATGCTTTTCTCAGTAACCTGCTTTGCATTTCATGTGCATCAAAATTCATCGTAATAAAACCACTAATATTCTCGTTCAAAGCTCAGAATCGGTGTTGTTAATGCAACACGTGTAAGACAAGCCATAATGTGTATATATAATAATAAAATACAAATTTTAAGTATAGAGTATGACGTCAGGATTATAGCCAGTGTCAAAATAATGTTGCATGAAATACTCTCAGTGCAGATTAAGGCAACACTTATCATATCACAGTAACCGTTACATGCTGAAATGTCAAAAATGATGGAACGTATTAATGAGAAAATCTAGGATGAATATGTTTGAAACAGTATTCAAACTACCTGCTAAACCTCGTTGTCTTCGCTTCCGCAGTCTCAAAGTCTCTGTGGTGTTAAACAATTAGTGGAGACAAAAAATATCCCGTAACATCACGAGCTGTGCACTGTATTTACATGAGAGAGGGAGTGTGAATCTACACGCAAACTTACTTCACTCAACAGAACAGTACATGGCTGCTGGAAACAAAATAAAAGTCCTAGGGGCGCTACCACAGTCTATGGGCGCTACTCATGGGAGCTACTACAGGTTTTACTTGAGATAAAATGAAACGTTTACCACATATAAAAATAAATATTTTATACTCTCCCTTTGACTTTTTAAATTATATATTTAGCATCATTTCATTAAAAATGCCTATTTGCAACAAAATAAATTTGTACTCGACAGAAAATTGCATTTTGTTATGCACAATACATTGAATAATAAACATGCTTCATTAATTCATTAATTCATTCATTTACTCATTCATTCGGTTATTTAAAATTAAAATCATTTTAAATAATTGAATATATATAATGTAATTAAACTTAATCTTAAAATAAAATACAGATAAATTTTTTTTAGTAGGCTAACAATTTTGTTTAGTAGGCTACTTAATAAAATTAACTGTTGCTCATTATTTTGGTCATTATTCAACCTCATAGAGGAAATGTAGAGGAACGGTATGAAAACAAACCACTAAATCACCTTTGGATAAAAGCATCTGCTAAATGACTAAATGTAAATGTAAATTTCAAGACTCAACAGGATGTGAATCCAGATGGTGGAGAACTGGATCCTTCAACACAAGTACAGACAGACACTAATGTGAAAGAAGTTACCAACACATGTTCCATTGAGAACACAAGCCAAACAGAGAGAGAATGTGTCATTGGAGAGTTGACCATCACTAGTACTTCATTTATTGGGCCTGTGTGTCGCCTGTAGCCATCCATCGAGCAGGAGCTTTGTGAATTTTACAAAGAGCTTGAGGAAGTTGATAAGGTTGACATCAATGCGGACACCAAAACGGTTGAACAGCATGGCCTCCATCCTTCTAGCAAGCCCGAAAGCGATCAACCAAACAGTACAGACATTCCTGTTGTAACTGATCATGGCAGAGCCTACAGACCTTACCCAGATCCACATGAACGCAACCAAAAAGATCCAAAAAGATGGAGACCTCGCTTACAGTGTAATATGGATGACTTTGTTAGAGGAGGATATCCAGAGCTGTGGTATCCTCCTCCACCATGGCTTCCTCCAGACCCAAGGGTGCACTTCTTCCCTCCCCCAACCTCTGGAGGTGCTATCATGTATCCTCCAGACATGAGACCTCAGGAGAACGTCTTCCACAGTTTTCATGCCAACAACAACAGCTGGGGTCCATGGGAAGGACCACCATTACCTTTGAACAGGTGGCATGAACAAAACAGGGTTTTCCAGTCACATGAGCATCCTGGATTCTCTGAGGAATATCAAACATCTTCAGCACACTGGCAGCAGCATTATCACGTAAAAGACCAATATCAGCATTATAATAACACTGCTTTGGTGCTCATATTGTTGAGGGGAGTCCCAGGATCTGGAAAATCCACTTTGACCAGGTGAGCAAAACGAACTATGTAGAGAAATGACCTCATTGATGTTTTTGCACCAAACCAGTGGTCAAATGTTTAATTAAATACTAAAGACATACTATAAGCAAAACTTGCACTGATTGGTTAAGTTGTACTAAAATTGTCCCAACGGCATGTTTTTATTAGTTTAGGTAAGCAGAGAAAAAGAGATTTTCTAATATTTGACTGTATGTCTCAGAGAGCTCCTGTCCACTGCTCCCAATGGAGTAATACTGAGCACAGATGACTACTTTTTCCAAGACAACAGATATGAATTTGATTCTGCTCTGCTTAGTGATGCGCACGACTGGAACCAGAAGAGAGGTGAGGATAGGCTAAGTAACATCATTGTAGATATGGGACACATATATATATATATATATATATATATGTGTGTGTGTGTGTGTGTGTGTGTGTGTGTGTGTGTGTGTGTATATAGAGTATATATATATATATATATATATACTGTACATTCACACACACTATATATATGTATATATACACTGTACATTCACACACACATGCACACACACACATATAAATATAATTAATATGTCTATAGATATTATATAAAGTAAATGAACCCTTTATTTTTGTAATTATTTTCAGTGGTGATTCACTTGATTATGATTGCTTTAATGCAGTCATTTTCACTATTACTATTAAAACATGAATGAAATAAAAATTAAGTAATTTTATTTATCAAACACATCAATGATGTATAAATACATATAATTCAATTTGAATTATGAAAACAGGATTTATATGCATTACATTAAAGAGAAATAGCAGAAAATTATATTTATGTGTAATATGTTATATATTTGCATAATTTTCACCAAAACGATGTTATAGTGCAAAAAAAAATCTAAAGAAGTCTAGTATATCCTTCATTTTCTTTATGAAAAATATCATATCTTTTTTTTCTTTTGCTTCGGGGGTCAAATATGACCATGACTTTTTCTTAACCGTTTTTGTGAGATTTTGTGTTTATGAAATTATTCAAACAATTTCAACAATAGAAACTCTTGCAATTGTGAGCATTTAATGTTTTGAGAAAGAGCATGAAGTTATTTTTCTAAAACCAATCTGAATGCTAATTCTTTATGGCTTTGTCATTTCTAAGCCGAGCAGGTGATGTTGGAGGGCCGCTCGCCCGTTATCATTGACAACACTAATGTTAAAGCCTGGGAAATGAAGCCTTATGTTCAAATGGTGAGTTGGCATCTTTAAGTAATGCCTGGGATTGGAATATTTTTGTAAAACGCAAGTTAGGCTTTAACTTGGCTCCGAACACTGGCTGAAAGTTTTATTAGCAGTGCTTTAGAACATTTCTATATGTTTGCATTCAGAGATTTTGTATTGCAATACAAGGATTTCTCCAGCTATTTGCTAAATGAACTATATCTGCTTACACTGCTCCGGGTGTGTGTTCACGGTGTGTGTGTGTTCACTGCTGTGTGTGTGCACTTTGGATGGGATAAATGCAGAGCACTAATTCCGAGTATGGGTCACCATACTTGGCCACATGTCACGTCACTTACTAATTAGTAACACATTTTTATTAATTTACTTTATTTTACACAGGCTTTAGACAACGGATACAGAGTGGACGTTCTTGAGCCAGATACCCGCTGGAAATATGATCCTGCCCAGTTAGAAAAGTAAGTCTGTTTATAGTTTTGGTTCTCAGGAACACAGTGACTTTTATTAATCACTGAATGAGAAAGACTATTGACTTTGGATCAGGTTTTGGCTTACAGTACAGAGGTAGATATTTCAGCTGTAAGTGGAAAAAATGTTTTATAGTCTAGCCAGATCAGTAAGTATCTTTCATATTCCCATGAATAAGACCAGCTAACTAAGAGCCATTGTTATTTTCATTTATTTGTTTTATTTACAACTGGCTTTGTATAGCAGTCTAATAGAGCTTGGCTGTCCTGGTAATTTCCTGTCTATTAATTTAATCAACAGGAGGAACAAGCACGGAGTCCCTCGAGAAACAATAGCAAAGATGCTGGATGGTTTCGAGCGGCCGGTGAATGTTGACATTGTGATGAATTCTGTGGTGCCTCCCCATAAAAAGAAAGGCCATTAACAGAGAACCAATGACATTTAGCTGTTCTTGAATTAGAAATATTGCCATGTTATCATTCTTAATGATAGTAGGTTTATATATATATATATATTTTTTATTTTTATTTTCATACATACTGATGCAGCTAAAGATGTTTTTAATGACTGTATGGTGATTTTAATGTTTTAATGACCATTGGCATATCTGTTTATGTGAAATGCTAAAAACATTTTACAAAAGAAAGAGAACGCAGCTGTAAGTGGAAAAAATGTTTTATAGTCTAGCCAGATCAGTAAGTATCTTTCATATTCCCAGGAATAAGACCAGCTAACTAAGAGCCATTGTTATTTTCATTTATTTGTTTTATTTACGACTGGCTTTGTATAGCAGTCTAATAGAGCTTGGCTGTCCTGGTAATTTCCTGTCTATTCATTTAATCAACAGGAGGAACAAGCACGGAGTCCCTCGAGAAACAATAGCAAAGATGCTGGATGGTTTCGAGCGGCCGGTGAATGTTGACATTGTGATGAATTCTGTGGTGCCTCCCCATAAAAAGAAAGGCCATTAACAGAGAGAACCGATGACATTTAGCTGTTCTTGAAATAGAAATATTGTCATGTTATCATTCTGAATGATAGTGGGTTTATATATATACATTTTAATCATTTTAATACATACTGATGCAGCTAAAGATGTTTTTAATGACTGTATGGCGATATTATTTTTTAAATGACCATTGGCATATCTATTTATTTGAAATACTAAAAACGTTTTACAAAAGAAAGAGAATTTCTTTTTTTAAATAGTATCACTTTCTTTGTATTTCCTGTAATTATGCTTAGTGCACATATGAAAATGTTTTTTGCTGTTCTAGTTTTGTCCATTGTAATATAAAAATGTAAATCATATATTACCACATTGATAAGTGTGGAACATTGGTAGGATAAGACCATTGGAGTCTAATAAATCTCTCGACTTTTAGACAGCCTGACACATAAAATTAATGCTGAGGTCCCAGATAGAAGACGCAAAATATTATCTGTAGTGACATGCTGAATTAGGAGCATTTTTTAAGCAATGTCTCTTTTTTTTTTTTTTCAAAAGACCGGCAGCTCAAATCTAGACACTGATCTGATCTCAGGGTTTACATTTTATGAATATGCTGTATATTGCTGAATATTTTTGTAAATAAATGTTGATTTGTTTTGATAAAATGGAAATAATTAATTTCTACACTTGGATGCTTTTCAATGTGAGCTGATTAAAAGTTTCTTTCTTTCTTTCTTTCGCACTTTCTTTCTTTCTTTCTTTCTTTCTTTTTAAGTACATTTTTACATACTTTAATATTTTAATTTGTTGGAAAGCATTTCCCTAAACAGCATATTAAACATCTTTTTTTTTTTTTAAGAATAAGTGCTAAAAACCATTAGATTTCTACATTATTTCACTACAAGTAAATGTATATAAATAAGTTCCCACTCTCAGGGTCATGA